AAAAAAATAATTCCCTAGAGTCGCTAATGCGATTATGTAAATATCCATAATTTTAATTAATTTGTTAATTGTCATTAATTATGATTTAAATTATTGGAAAACATACACACAATATCATAACAAAATTTCATGCCAAAATCTTGTGATGAGTTTGTGGTTGATTGTTTGATACAATTAATTTCAACATCTTCGTAAAATTTTCATGCTATATTTGATGTTGTTTATTTTTTTTTTATTTGAACTAACAGTCTGAATAACATAAATGACCGATTTACCACACAATATTAATTATTTGAACATAAAAACAAAAAAAATCATAAAGAGGCCGACGATGGGTGTCTCATATGGGAAGGAGGCGGTGCTTTAAATAAGGGGTAGGAGTGTCATTTTTGTTGAATGGGAACAACACACCATTTCTATATGTGCGAATAAGTAAACAACCAAAATTAGTTGTGCGAATAAGTCAGATAGACCAACAAGCCTAATTAAGCTGCAGGTAAACAACCCATAGGTTAGCATACTATATGTAAGGACGGGTAACTAACATGGTTGGAAGGTTGGAGACGTAGGACGTGAGATGGAGATGGTTGAGGAGTCGGTAAATATGTATTCAGAGTCTTGATATGGATAGAGAGAAGTTTATCTTGTCGTTCTATTTCTTTATGTCCCTATGTCCCTATGTTTTATGCATTTGTAATTCTTTATTGTTTTATACGCTTCGTTCTCATCTTCAAACACTCTTCGTATCTGATCTTTTTTGTCCCAAGTTGCTTCATTCTTTCCAAATTCCTTTCAACTTTTTTCGACAAACATTTTGAAGCACTCGGGTTTTCACTAAAACCTTTTGTAAACAATTTTTACATAAACCAGGTATTCACGAAAACAATCGTTCTATTATATTGAGTAGGGGACATCTATATACATTCCACCCCTCATATTTTGAAACGAGACATGTTGAGAGTGTGTTTGATTTTAGAACAACTATTCTTAACATGGTACAACTTTACATAAACTCTACTTCAGTACGGTTTCAGCTTTCAATTGTCATGGTGTTCAGATCATCCATTTTCTTGGTTGTAGCTGCTACGAGATATTTGACTTTCAACAAGTATATATGATCAACAAGATTAACCAATACCTCATTACGTAATACAATGTTTGAATGATAAATAGAACAAATAAACTCACACACCCTCGTCACTTTTGGTTAGGTTTGAACCCCTAACTTCCTAGAAGGCCAAAGACTCACATATCTCTAGGCCAAAGACCCTTTGGTAATATCCAATATTGTTGTAAAACTAAAAATATAAATTTTTGGTTTTTTGCTGGAATTTGTTTAGTGCAAAATTTTATTATAATTTAAATATTTCAGATTAAAAATAAAGATGTAATTTGTTTTAGTTTTAGATGATAAAGTACTTTTTTAAATAAATACTAGAAGTTACTCGCACAATGCAGCAAGATACATATTCATTTTAGTGTTTCGTTTTATTTTTTGTCTTTGTTGATATAATACGGTTTATATAGTTTTGAGAAAGATAATGTTTTTACTTTTGAATAAAAATAAATTTAAAGACATCATAAATTTTTTTAAAAATATATCGATATTAATATCAAATTAACTATTTAAAAGTTCTTGTTTTTTATATAATTAATTTAATTTAATTTTTATTATAATTTAATTTATATCAAATAGTGAAGTAAATTTTTTTGGCTTAACAATAAAAATTTCATAAAGATAATGATTCTATTAAAAATCGATAATTATACTAATTATATTTTAATTTTTTTATATTTTAAATTGAGATGTTTATCCTCTATTTGATTATGTTTATCCGTAATTAGTAATACGAATTCAAACATGAAACTTTAATAAGTTGTACTTATGCATTATTTACTTGTAATCTTGAATTTTAAGTAATATGCATCAATATATAATACTTCATGCATAAAAAATAGGTTTTAAGAGTTTTTGTCAAATGCTTTATAATATAGTATAGATAATGATGGAATACTGTATGATAATGTGCTTATCATTTGATTATTAATTAATTTTTATAAAGTTCAAAGACATAAATGATTTGTTTGATATTATCGAAAACAGGTTGGAAGGGACCTCTACGTATTTTTAGGCTGGTCCAACCTATTGTTCTTTCCCTCTGCATAAGGTTGTACCTTCATAAATATACCTATAGATTGACAAGTTAGAAATTGACTTGTAACCTTAGAATTTAAAATATTATTAATCACTAAGCAATACTTTATATTTAATAAATTGGGAGTCTCGTTACTTCAACTACGATAACGAAAAATCATTTAGTTTTTTTTCCTTTTCTAGTTGGAACTTTCAACAGTCTATTTTTAAACATCTTACGTACAACTTTATAAAATTCGGAATGGATCTCTATTAATTAATGATTATTTTAAATTGTTATTAATCATATTTATTATTTTTATTATCATTTTTAATCAGCCAAAAATCAAATATAACAATTGTAAAAAAGTGTTTGTAAGTTATATATAGATTAAACTTACATATTTTAAGGGGGTGTTTGTTTAGAAGTATTAAACAGTAATCAATGGAAATGAAAATAAGAGAAACTGTTTAGTTTTTATAATATAATGAACTCATTCTTTCAGAAGCTCAAAATCTTATTTCTCGTTAAACTGGGGGGAATGAAAATTCATTCCGATTTTCATTCCCTGTCATTTTTATTTTCATTTTCATTCCTCAGCATTAGCCAAACAGACCCTAAGTATTACAACTTCGATACATGGTTTTAATAAAAGTAGGGATGGTGATTTACCTCTACCCGGTGGGGAACCCGATTCATCCGACCCGAATAGGGACGAGGATTCCCCGCTAAAACGGGTCCCGGGCCGAGGATCCCCGGTAGACTCAAACTGGGGTCGGGGCTGGGGGATGTTACTAAACCGGGGCCGGGGATCCCCATTAGAATCAAACTAAGGGATATTCTTCATGGGGTTTGACCGGGGATTTATCGGGGATTGATAGAACTTTGACGAGGGACGCGAGGTTAATACTCGTACCCGCCAGGGACCAAGGATGGGGCCGGGGGATGTTACTACAAACCGGGGCCACACCCAGGGATTACAAAACCCGCCTCATCCCTGCCCCGTTGCCATGCTTAAATAAAATATCTAATTCAAATTTTTTTTTTTATGAATCATTAACTAATTAAGATATTACGATTGATAAACTATGTTTCTTATTTGCATTATACGTTGTGGGTGGGGGTTTGTTTAAGATATTTGTAATTTGTAATATTCATGAGATCCAATTTAGAGCACAAAATAATTAGGTGAAGGTAAAATCTAATATAAATTAAAAATATATACATCTCTCATCTATCCATAACATACACATACACATACACAAAAATATACATACAAAATGAACATAATGTGAACACTTTCTTAAAAAATACTGTCATAATTTATGAATACATTATAAATCTTAGAGATCAGTTATTACCTGTGAAGAACACCAGCTAAATCTAAATGTACTACTTGTGAGCATCATAGTAAAAAATCTATTATGGTTGTTCATAATATGTTCATATTGTATGAAATTTTCTAAAACAATGAATAAATTTTTATTTAACATAATAATAATTATCTTCTCAATGATATCATTATTTAGTAACATCAATGATCTTAAATCAATGATCTTACGGATCTCACAAAATTTGGAGTTATCAAATGATTTAGTGATTTGATTAATGTAATCTTTTTCCTAATATTCTTATTTATTTCACATATCCACATCTTTAATATATATATATAGAATCATGTGAGACCAACCTGTTTTCGTGAGACCCGTGAGACCAGCATTTTACACTTGAAACTTCACAGCAAAAATGCTGTGAATGTGACTTTTTAAAACCTTCACAGTGTTTTTGCTGTGAAKGTTCGACTTTTTAAAACCTTCACAATGTTTTTGCTGTGAAGTTTACGTGTAAAAACGTGGTCTCACGGGTCTCACGAAAACAGGCTGGTCTCACGTGAACCCAACCCTATATATATATATATATATATATATAATGAAAGTAAATTTCTATAAATTAACATATTATATTATTTAACTTTTTTTACCACATGTTTTGTATTAGCTATTAATGATGTCTTTTAATTATATTTTGTAAATGTTATAATAACCAACTTTTTGGTTATTTTATGTTTTTCAATTCGTTTGTTAGCTACTTTTATCAAACATGATTAGTTTATCAGTTAACTTATTAGAAGCCGACTAATTTAAGAAAATTGACCAAAATAGTCAATCTTACGAGTCAAATTCACTTTTTAGCTACTTTTGGAACCGAATGACATTTAGCTACTTTTGCACAAAACTTATCTTTAAATTAAAAAAAGAAATTATTTACGTAAATGTGGATTTTTACGTAAAGATTTTTGTCTTTATTTCTTAAATTTGAAAATCGAGTTTATATAAATGTATACAACATTTATATAAATTCTAGATAAAATGAAAATTCAATTAAAAAATGACTAAAAGATGGATTTGATTGAGGGGTCGTTTATCAAATACTTACCCGGTAAGCATTTATCGGTAAAATTTAATATTATTATTTATTTACCAGGTAAGATTTTAGTCAACAAAAACGGCTGTCTATACCACAATTTACCCGGTAAGAGCTGATCGTGGTAAGAGTTATTGTCCGCACTTACCGGGTAAGACTCTTAGTCCTTGCCTTGTTCTTATCAGGTAAAATTTTTGGTCTTTATCATATTCATCTAATAAAATAATATAACTTGATAAACGCTTATTCAAGTAAGCATTTGGTAAACCATCCCAAGTAAATTAACTTTTTGATGGATTTTCTAATAATTTGTCAAGTCAAATAGTGTAGATTAAATATAAACTGCCAAGTCTCTTTTTCATGTGAGTTTGAAATTCAGGTAAAGTAATTTACAAATTGAACCCTGAAGTTATACAAAATTACAAAAATGACACTCTCCTTCACCTAATTTATCAAACTCCTTTCAACTGTTCCCATTCTCCCAGCACTTGTTCCTGCGAATCCTTCAAAAATGGCGATACACCTCTGCTCTGAAAATTCCGGCACCGGAACTAACATCACGATGAGCCCTCGAATTTCATTCTCTCATGATCTCTCCCATTCCGATACAGTCCCCGTCGAACAACTTCTCCGATCATTTTCATCCTCCTCCACCGTCGATTTCAATTTCTGCGTTCAACAAAATCCCTACCACCATCACGCTTCCATGGCCGACGAGCTTTTCTCCGACGGAAAAATCATCCCGACTCAAATCAAACAACATCCACCACCACCACCAACACTACCGCCACGACAATCACCATCTCTGAACCGAAATCCACCGCCGCGGATTGAGGAGGAACCACAGAACTCATCGAGATCATTTTGGGGATTTAAGAGAAGCAGCAGTTGCGGAAACGGATACGCCCGAAGTTTATGCCCGATTCCTCTGTTATCTCGGAGCAATTCAACCGGATCATCATCAACAAACACGAAGCGACCATCGTCTTCAAAAGAAGGTTTTACTCAAAAACATCATCATCATAATTTCCAGAAACCTCCATTAAGGAAAACGAGTTACAGATATGGCAATCATACTACTAATACCAGTAACGGAGCTCGGATCAACCCAGTTCTGAATTTGGGATTTGGATCCTTCTTCTCTAGTGGCAAGAAGAAAATGAAATCGTAAATCGATTTTTCAACCATCCAAATTGGATTTCAATCTACTTATAACCAAATCATAATCAATTTCATAAAAATGCATCATATTTTATAGATGAAAAGATGACGATCGTTTTGCATGGATTCACTTCTCAATCTCTAATTCATGAAAACATGTTGTGTTTTCATTATTTCATAAGAAACCCAGAAAGATGATTCGAAACAATCACCTAAAACAACATATCTTGTTAGCTTTTTTTTGTGAATTCTAATTAAAGACTTTGAACTTTTGGGATACATGATTTGATTTGATTTGATGTGTTAATTACTCTTGGATTAGGTTAGAGATGATTGGGTGAAAGATTACAGCAAATATGAGGCTAAATTAGGGTTTCTTTGTTTGGAATTTGGGGTGTATGATCACATGCAATTGGGGTTTTTCCTGATTAAAAAAAAGGCAAGATTTGCTTTCATGGGGTTGTTTTGTTTAGGTGTCATTTGGATGTATGTTACAAATGGTGTGATATGGATATTGGGTTTGGTTTGATTCTTCTAAATTTGTTTTCTTTATTTGTTTCTTGATGACAAAATGTAGTCTAATATGTGTTTGTGGCATTGCATATTTTATTATTTATGTGAAGTTTCGTGTTTGATAAAGACTTGTGTTCATGTAATTGATGTGTATTTTGATTTGAATTTATAATGTATTAGAATGATGAATATGGGATTATGTTTATAAAAATTTGATGTAAATACTGAAATATTAAGAAAATAAAATAAAATGAAGGAAAATATAGGGGTCGTTTACTAAACACTTATGTGGTAAAAACTTACCGGATAAATTTTCTCATCGGATGAACATGAAAAGGGTCAAAAATCTTACCAGGTAAAAGGAGTAGCGAACACAATGTAAGAGCATCGTCGAGACTCAAGAAGGGAGAGTAAACATACATTAATAAAAGGCTCTTGTTTGAGGATATCTTTAGAATATCAGTTGATAAAGTGGTTATTGACTGATAAATAATTGTATACTAAAAAACTAGCAACTGTCTGATAAACTAACTCTCAGCTAAAAACTAGCTGATAATCTAATCATGTTCAGTAGAAGGTGGTATAAGCTAGTTGACAAATATAAATTGATTAAAAAGAACATGTTAAAAAATTAATCAGTTATAATATTATATAATATAACTAAAACACTACTGATTATTTAGGTTTCATAGACATTCCTTACATTTCAAATAATATCTGTAATATTGTACGAATATCTTCAATCTCATGTCATTACTATCGCATGTTAAAGAACCAATATAACGAAAATTTGAAGCTTAGATTTTACAAATTAATTAAACTTAATACTTTTTACATAGTTCCCATTCTCCCAACACTTTTATATCTTAAACTAATTTTCGTACATTAATTAGTTTTAGAAAAATGCTTAAACTTAATACTTTTATATTTTGTTATCTGTTGTCGGATATTTAGTTTTTAAATCTTTTTTTTAATTTTCAACTAATTAAACAAGAATTTGTCAAAATTATATTTTATTTGAGCTAAAGGATTTCATGAACGTAATGTTTCTGTAATGACAAATATTTCATGACAAATTCTAAGTTTCAAATTTTATTTAAACACCTTGCTAATCATATTTAGAAAATACTAGAAGAGTATTCGCCAGTGCAGTGAGATACATCTCCGTTTTAATGTTTCATTTTTTTATCGTCGTTAATGTTATAATACAGTTTTATGTGGTATTAAGAAAACGATAATATTTTTATTTTTGAATAAAATATAAATATGAAGATATATTATAATTTTTTTTTTAAAGTTATTGATATTAGTACCAAACTAACTATTTAAAATTTCTCATTTTTTATGTATTTATACAAAAAAAATTAATTTTTGGTTTAATAATATAATTTTTTTCCAAAGAGAATAATTAAGTGGTTTGTTAGAACTCAATGATTATTCTAATTATATTTTAGATTTTTTTATATTTAAAATGAGATATTTATTCTCTATTTGATTATGTTTATCTGCAGTTAATTACACGAATTCAAACATGAAACTTTAATAAGTTGTACTTACGTACAATTTACTTATAATCCTAAATTTTAAGTAATATGCATCAATAAACAGTACGTCATACTTAAAAAATGGATTTTAAGAGTTTTTGTCAAATGTTTTATAATATAGTATAGATATGTTTGTGCCACCAATGAGATCTTATTTAATTTCTTTTCTAATTACTTTCCTAAAAATGAAAGTTGAGAAATGACCAAATTTGTTATAAAAATAAAAAATGGTTTGAGTGACCAAATCTGTTATAATAATGTAAATTAGTTTGAGAGAACAAATATGTTGTAAAATAAAAAGTAGTTTGAGGGACCAAATATACTATTGAAAATTAAAATTGGGGAAAGAGGATGGTGAATAGACAAAAATGCCCCCCACTAACGGAAATTAACTGAAGAAGTTAGAGGAAGGATCACATCGGATATAAAAAATGAAACTATAAGGATATCCTTCATTAATAATTTTTTTAAGGACCTTACTCGTCAATTTATATAAACTACATGAACTAAATTTGTATTTAACTCTAACTTTAAAGAAAGGTATGTATTAATTACACTGAATAAATATTTTATTAATTATTTTCAAAAAATATATATTAAATACTAATAATTTCCTAGGAGAAATTGCATCAATTAAGTATTTTATAAAAAAAATAAAACTTAATAAACAATGAATAAATAATTAAAATTATAATGAAAAGAAATTGATAAAAGAAAACTATTAGAACTTAATAAAACGCCATGTTTAATATAAGTTAACTTAAAGAAAATCAAACAAAATTTTTCAATATTTTTTCTAATAATCACAAGGGTGGTGTCTGATTGGTTTGAGTTTGGCTCCAAAGGTCAAAAGTACCAGGAAGTCCTATGTTCAAATCCAAGAAGGAATAAAAATCATCTTGTGGCCACGAAGGTTCAAATGCATTGACTCCGAACAATCTGCATAGCAGGTAGTCGTCCTGGAATTAGTCGGCTCGCATAGCGGGTAGGGCAGTTCTTGAGATATTTGAACCGGAACCGGTTAGAGTGCCACGAACCGGTTCCGGGTACCCGCTTCCTAAAATATTAAAATTTTGTTATTTTGAAATAAAAAATAAAACATTGCCAAAACACTAAATAAATAAACAAGAATACAAATTATACGAAAATAATGGTTACAAATATTGTTTAACGGTTACAAACCATAATAGACTAATAGTAAATGTTAAAAGTTTAACGATTACATACTATAATTGTAAATATTCAAAGTTTAACGATTACATACTATAATTGTAAATGTTCAAAGTTTAACGATTACATACTATAAGTCGATGAAGATGGTCAAGAGGCCTCATGCCTGAGAGTATGAGTCGATGAGGCGCAAAAACGGGACCAAAAATCTAATCTAGAGTTCTAAGTTTTTGACTTAATTTAAATTTAGTATTAAAAAAAATTAATTATTATTATTTTAATTGAAAAATACCGGGTACCCGCCGGTTCCAGTTCAGGGTACCTGCCCGTTCCGGGTACTCGGTCCCGAAACCGGTCCCGACGGGTAACGGTTCCAAAAAATTGTGAACCGAAACCGGAACCGAAACCATTCTTAATCGATTCCGTATTTTAGGAACCGGAACTGGAACCACTCATATCGGTTAGGGGTGAGCAGCGGAACCGGGTACTCGTTTGCGGAACCGAAACAGCCTTGGAACCGCCGGTTCTGGAACCGGAATCGATATGAATGGTTCTGGTTCCTAAAATACGGAACCGATTGAGAACGGCTCCGGTTCTCAATTTTTCGGAACCGTTACCAGCCGGGTACCTGGAACCGACGGGTACCCGGTGTTTTTCAATAAAAAAATAATTAATTTTTTTTAATACCAAATTTATATTAGGTTACATCTTCAAAAGACACGGTCATCTTCATTCTTCATATACTTTCTAGCTCTATTAAGCTACAGTTCTTAGTATATAATCGTTAAGTTTTGAACATTTACAATTATAGTATGTAATCGTTAAACTTTGAACATTTTCTATTAATCTATTATGATTTGTAATCGTTAAACAATATTTGTATCTATTATTTGATAAATATCAAGTAAAACACATTAATACTTTAAATTGGAAATTGCGGACGTGTTCTTAGTCCAACCCGGGAAAAAAACTCAAAATTTTGTACAAATAACGTCATATTTCATCAAAAATCGTATGATAAAAAAAAAAATACATGCGTTCAAACACAAAATAATTGGGTAAAAAAACAACAAAATCTATAACATAACATGTGTTCAAACTACAAAACCATCTATAATATTTAACAAAAACAGTTTATGTTGATACAGGGTTAACAAAAACTTACTTCACGAGTCATTATAAAGAAATTGCGGAGTTACTGACATGGAAGATCGCTTTGTAGAGAGAATCACATGCAGGTTCTTTTATGGAGATAACTTTTTGGGATGCAAATTTTGGTCCCCACTCCCTTATGTTTATATAGAATAATAAGAGAGGTGGATGGGGTTCTGTAACTGCGGATGGTCTCATGGTCAAGAGAATTCAAGAAAATGTTTCTTCTCAAGAATAAGATGCGATTAGGGTTTATCAGTTGCAAACACATGTAGGTTCGTAAAACTGCAGGTCCAAAATTGCAGATCTGAGTAGAAAATGTAATTTTTATAAACTTCAAGGGAATGCCTGCAATTGCGGACGTGGGTAGAAAATGTAAATAAGTTGTGTCGTTTAGCTGAGTCTGTAATTGCAGAGGTAAGTTTTTACGGACCTTTGGCTGTTTTGATAAATACGAGAGATAAATGACTAAGAGATGAAAATGCAGTTTTAATTAATTTTCCTTTATTTTAATCACTTTAAATATCGTTAAGTATTATATTTTTGAGATGAAAAATATAATATCAAATTTTGCAATGATAAATAGGACGACAAGTCAAATGTAATCTTAATACCTAATAGACAAAGTGGGACCCTTAATATTTGTGGTACATATAAAAACAACTTCAAGGTTCAGCACAACAAGTACGTATCTGTAATAATTGTCTCTTACAATTTTAATTTGTAATTATTATTCAACTCTGTAAAATGATCCCTTGATGAATTTTTTTAATAAATAATACAGATGATGAGAAATTTAAAAAATTGGGGGAGGCTAATGGCACCCCTATCCTTTATTAATGTCATCCCTATCACCTATATAATTATTATTTTTTTAGTTTTTTTTTTTGTGTTTTTGTCTTTTTATTATCTTTTTCTTTTTTATATTAACATTCTTTTACTTTTTTTGTTTAATTATATACATTACTATTACAAAAATTATTTATTATTTTTAAAAAGTATTTTAATTCATAACC